CAATGGGTTCAGGGTAAAAAAAAAAAAAAAAAAAAATTAAATAGAATCAAAATTTATTCAAGTTTCTCTTCCTCTCTCCTTCTCTCTCAAAAAAAATCTCTCTCTTTCTCTCTCTCTTTCTCTCTCTCTCTCTCTCTCTCTCTTTCTCAAAAAAAATCAAGGCAGCTTGATTTTGAAGCTTCTGCTTGATACAAACTAAGCATATGCTAAAAAAAAGGCTTAGTATATTGTTTACGTGCTTTAGCACGGATTTAGCTGTAATTAAACTACTATTTGTCTTCATGGAATACAAAAGCTATCAATTAATTATGTCTATTAGCTAATGAAAGCAGCTGTCAATACAATAGACACAATAGCTGCTAATAAAGCTATAGTCTCTGATTTAAAAAAAAAAAATATATTCGCTTGGCTTGTGATAATAGATAACTATGGATCTGTTCAAGAATGTAAAAAAAAAAATTACTAAAATTATATCTTATTGAATCTAATTAAGAATCGAAGTTTTTAGAAAAAAAATATTGAAGAATTATGAAGAGCGGAATCTTATTTTTAAAAATATCGAAAGACTAAAAAAAATTGCAAATTACCATAAAGAAAATATCATAGAAATTTGATTCTAGATTATATCTCATAAAAACTATGTTTATTGCTAGTCTACTCTATTCTCTTGCAATCGAATATGCCGATTGTGAAAAGCGGAATAAAAGGACATATAAAATATTATATGTACTATATATTTGCTAAGGGAATTGCAGCTTCCATCAATACAAAATTTGTACACTTTTTCATCCGATTTTCGCGCAGCTTTCATTTTGATTGAGCTACGGCCTTTTATAATTTCCGCCTGTTTTTGTTTTTTTTTTTTTTTTTTTGGTTTGGTTCGCATTTTTCATGCAACACCTCGATAGTAATTGGTAGCATGCCAGAGTAATACACAAACCCACACACACACATGCACTGACCTGTCCAGCTACTGCCCGACAGGTGGCGTTTTAACATGGCGCATGACATCGACAAAAAAAAAATGATATATTGAAAAAGGAAAATGACAAACCATTCCAAATTTGAAATTCGAGAGGTCAAAGTTGAAGCTGAAAATATGAATATTTCATTCGCAACTATGGGATCTGATGGGCAACTATGTGTTGTGGTGTGTGGGCGTGGCAGTTGCCGTTATCCAAATGCTGACAGCGACACACTTTGTGGGTGGCCAAGATAGGACGAAGGGGAGGGGCAGAGGGACACAGCGAGAGGAGACTGTGTGTGTTTGGCATATGACATGAAATTGTAAATTTCTAGCTTGTTTTGATGTCTCTCAATTGTTGTTGCTGTTGCCGTTGTTGTTGTTGGTATTGCAGGCGTTGTTGCATTTGCCACAGTTCAAGTTGACAAAACGAAATGAATACTTAATTGGATATTGCGGCTATGAGTGCGCCTGAAAGGCGGCAACGCAAATGCCTGACATGAAATTAATATTACGATGCGTTCGTTCCATTGTTCATGTTGGCTACGACCACTATGGTGGTTAAGAGAATTGAATATCATGGGACCAACAATCAAGCTGACGCTGCTTAAGGTTTCTGACATAATCAAAATTTAAGTAAATTACAATTTACAATTGAATTATGAAAAAGCCACAATCTAAAGCAATAAACTTCAAGTGCGAAAATATCTTCATCGGCAGTTAGAGCAATTCAAGTCGTATAATTATATGCAGTTAACAATTTCTGAAGGCCCTAAAGATATTGAAACATCAGAGTTATTTACGAAAATAATATAATAGCAGCACTTAAATTGATGAGAATTGCATAGAAGGCCGAAATTTTAGCTCTAGAAGTAAAGAAACGCTTATAAAAGACAGAGATTTAGAGCTATGGAAAAGGTAGAAACATAAAGAAATTAGAATAGTTAAGGAGACAGAAAATCAGAGAAGTAACGAAAGATATATCATAAGAGATTTATGCCTCAAAGCAGTCATAGCAAAAAGCTAGAAACAAAAGAGAACAGAACAAATGATGTAAACAATTGAAAGGCACGAAAATAAAGAGAACACAGAGCAGAATATGTAAGCAAATAAACCCAATAGAGCTAAATTGTACTCCTTCCGTTAACCCTTCGCACAGCAACCCAATTGACTCACATAGCTTAATCAGAGAGCCAAACCTCTTGCCGGATTCTTTCTCGTTCACATTTTCTCACTTTGCGAATCAAATAAAGCTTGCTATTTAGCAT